GAGGCAAGAGAATCGCTTAAGCCCAGGAGTTGAAGGTTGCTGTGAGCAGTGACACTACGGCACCCTACCCAGGGCAACAGCTTGAGGCTCTGTCTCAAAAAAAAAAAAAAAAAAATGAAAGCAACTGGACCTAGTGTTCTAGTTCTGCAAATAGGACCCTAGTACTGATGTACATAGACAACAGCAAGAAGCTACACTAAATGTCATCCCCTTTGCCCTGGCCCTCTGAGGGTAGACTTTGAACTCTAAAAATGAATACATTGCTCCTTTCCCCAGAATGGCTCCCTGTTTGAAGCTGACTTCATCCTACTGGATGGAATTCCAGCCAACGTGATCCGTGGAGAAAAGCAGTACCTGGCTGCCCCTCTCGTCATGCTGAAAATGGAGCCCAGTGGGAAGCTGCTCCCTATGGTCATCCAGGTGAGGCACCCTGGACACCCCCTCCCAACACTGTGCTCTGTCTACCTCAGCCTCTGCTCCCGGGACCCAGCCCCATGACTTTTGGCTCCCCAAACCCCATTTTCAATCACTGAGACCTGTCCTCATGTCACTGTTTGTGTTGTTTGCACTCTGGTGTCCCCTGATTCATCCAACTAGAAGTACTTGTTCAAAAGTCATAATGGCCTTTTGGGAGTTCTCAAACTGTAGTGTGCAAGAGAATCACCTGAAATGCTTGTTAAAACACATGTTTCTGGGTCCCGCGACCAGACTTTCTGATTCAGTATGTCTGGGGTGGGGAGTCAGAATTGGCATTTCATATAAGGGCCAAAGTTATGCTGACAATACTATTCAAAAAATACTTTGAGAATCGCCATTTAATGTCTCAGTGGCCTCTGACTCTGAACGCCCATTGTCTCTTCAATATCTTTCCTCACTATTAACAGTTAGTTGCTAAGCACTGTTAATAACCTTACACATCTCCTTTACACTCCACCACCACCTGAGCTCTGACCCTTACCATATTTCTCTAAAGTACTGTTAGGACCTCCTTACTGGACTCCCTGCTTCCAACTCTCCTGCATTCAACCCAACCATCACAGCAATACAGCCAGTGACAGGCAGGGTGGAAGGGGTCTCATTCCTCTCACTAGATTATAACCTCCTGGAAGGCAATAATCTTACTTAGTCATCTGTGTTTCCCCAGGAATGCTGACCATAACATCCTATGTAGAGTGGGAATTCAATAATTAATTAATTTCTCTCTCTCCTAGATTCAGCCTCCTAACCCCAGCTCCCAGATCCCAACACTGTTCCTGCCTTCAGATCCCCATCTTGCCTGGCTCTTAGCAAAGTCCTGGGTCCGAAATGCAGATTTCCAACTTCACGAGCTCCAGTATCATTTGCTGAACACTCACTTGGTAGCTGAGGTTATCGCTGTCGCCACCATGAGGTGCCTCCCAGGACTGCACCCTATCTTTAAGGTACAGGCTCCTCTGTCTTATCTCTCTCAGACCCCAGAGAGAACAGCCCATCATCAAATTATATTGCCGCCACAAAAAAACCTTTATAGTAATCTGTGAATGAAAAAATGGGAGAAAAGATAACTGTATCAATATCTTGAGACTTTTAATTGTTGAGTCATTTAACAATTCTTCAGGATACATCAGAAAGGAACCCTCTGAGATTCTCAGAGATCCAACTATCTAACAGTGGGCTTGCAGGATACCTGAAATATTATTAATAAAACAAAAGCCTTATGCCTGCCTTAGTAGATTTAGTATTTAGCCAGGAAAACAAATGATTCACCTAAGAACCAACCAAAGAACAATACCTGGAACTAGAGTTTGAAATCACAAAAGACAGCCTATAAACAGTATAGTATTGGTGGAGAATGTTCTGCCACAACCGAGTAGTCAGCTACATAGAAACAAATCAAAAGGCAAGGAGAGCAGCCAAGCAGGCTACTCAAACTTGCCCAAGAGTGAAGTGGATAAAGATGTACATTACATGGTGGTGACAAGAATGAAAAAGAAAAAAGCTAAAAACTTGTGGAAGGGAGGGAACCGTAGCTGCAGTGTGCCTGGGTACAAGATGGGAGAGAGAAAAGCTACAAGTCTAAACTGCTGCAACACCTACAAATGCACTGGGTGGATATACTGTACTGACCTAGAAATACTGTAATTTTATAAAATAGTGATTTAGGTATCTATTGCTAGGCAGAAGATAGCAAAATAAGGCTTGTGCTTGTTCAAATATGTTCTCAAAATCTTTCTTTTTTTCTGAGACAAGAGTCTTTTTCTGTTACCTTGGGTTAGAGTACTATGGTGTCATAGTTCGAAGCATCCTCAAACTCCCAGGTTCAAGAGATCCTCCTACCTCAGCCTCCCAAGTAGCCAGGTCTACAGGTGCCCACCACAACACTTGGCTAGTTTTTTTTTCCTATTTTTAGTAGAGATGGGTCTCACTCTTGCTCAAGCTGGTCTCTCAAGCTCAGGCAATCTACCTGCCTCAGGTTCCCAAAGTGCTAGGATTATAGGTGTGAGCCAATGCCCAGTCTGTTCTCTAAGTCTTTTTTTTTTTTTTTGAGATAGAGTCTCACTATGTGTTGCCCTTGGTAGAGTGCCATGGCATCACAGCTCACAGCAACCTCCAACTCCTGGGCTCAAGCGATTCTCTTGCCTCAGCCTCTCAAGCAGCTCGGACTACAAGCATCCACAATGCCTGGCTATTTTTTGCCACAGTTATTATTGTTTAGCTGGCCCAGGCTGGGTTCGAACCTGCTACCCTCGGTGTAAATGACTGGCACCCTAACCACTGTGCTACAGGCACCGAGCCAAGTTCTCAAAGTCTTGATGACACTTTACATACAAGGAATATAGCAGAGGGGAACAGAAAAATGATATAAGCTTATGAACCAGAGTAATTGTCAGAAACTGTAAAGTTAGAAGCAGCCAGTTTCAGGACAAAAATGAGGTATTCAGTTGTAGATACATGGAGTTTGAAGTGTTGGCAAGGCATGTAATTGGGTATTAGATAGAGAACTGAATTGTTCCACTTGGGAAGACCAGTCTAATTAACAGAATCTTGAATTTTAGTTCTCTCATTATGCCTCCTGTATCACCAACTTCTGCTCCACTTGAAAAGGTAAAGCCTCTTCACACTTACGATTCCCCTCACTAGTGCAGCCCCTAACCTGTCTCTACACCACACAACAATTTCATCCCATCAACAGCTGAGTTGTTACTAGACACATGGGAGGATTATGCCTGCAAATGTCACAGCGGCTACCTCTGTGTATTCTGGATTTGGACTGCCAGGGACTGAATCCCAAATCTTGGCCTCAGTACTACTAGGTGTCCTCATCATTAAGTAAGGATAGCAGGATCTCAATCATTGGGTTGTGAAGGGATAAATGACATAATGGTGTGCCACATACTAAATGCTATAAAAAAAAAATTAGTTCTTGGTGTGTATTGTCATTATTAAGGGTTGTCCTTAAGCATCTTCCTTCCTCCTCATGTGGACTTTGGGCTTTCCATGACATTCAGCATTTTCCTGAATTTTCTAAATTTCAGAAAAAATGTAAGCTGCTCTGACATCTTAATACCAAAGGTATCACTTGGGTCTTTCCCTGTGTGGTATTCCCATTCAGATAAATACCAAAATTCCATGAAATCTGCATATTAACTACATGGAAAGTAAGAAATAAAAAGAAATGCATGTGAGGATCAGGTGGCCTTTTTTAATAGCTAAGGAAATGCAGGAGACACGGGGTCTGACAGTGCCTAAAGAGAGTGAAGGCAGATTTGATAACAGCTCCTCTGCTGTATAAGCAAGTTGCTCAAGATAGCTCCTCTAATTCTGACTATAACTGCCCTCCCTAAAACACATGACAATGAAACAAACTAAAGGATGAGGTGCAGTTTTGATAGTGAGATGCTAGTTTAAGCTATGAGGATGTGAATGACAGAGGAAGTAAAAAGGAATCAAAAAGGGCTCGTTCTTAAGACCCTACACTCAAAGTGGAAAAACAGAACAATAAAAGCCACTATTTGTGGACATTTGTATGTACTAAATATTCTTTGTACATCACTCAAGCATCACATAGCCTCTAAGAGATCCTATTACTGCTCCGTTTTTTTTTTTTTTAAGAGACAGAGTCTCACTTTATCGCCCTCAGTAGAGTACTGTGGCATCACAGCTCACAGCAACCGCTCACTCCTGGGCTTAGGCAATTCTCTTGCCTCAGCGTCCTGAGTAGCTGGGACTATAGGCACCCAGCACAATGGCAGGCTATTTTTTGCTGCAGTTTGGGCAGGGCCAGATTCAAACCCACCACCCCAGGTATAAGGGGCCAGCACCCTACCAACTGAGCCACAGGCACCACCCTACTGTCCCCTGTTGACAGATGTGGAGACTGCAGATAAAGGTTAACCAAGTATCAAGTGAGTGGTAGAAGTCTAGGTTGAAATCCTGGTCAGTGTGGCTCCAAACATCAACCCACAGGGAAACTGGAGAACATAAGAGTGAGTGATCAGAGAATCAGGGGCCCAACCTGTCAAGGCAGCAGCAGGGAGGAAAGCATCAAGAGGAGAAAAGGGCCAAGGGCAGTGGCTCACACCTCTAATCCTAGCACTTTCAGAGGCTGAGGCAGGAAAATTGCTTAAGCTCAGGAGGTCAAGACCAGCCTGTGCAAGACTGAGACCCTGTATCTACTAAAATAGAAAAATTAGCTGAGTGTTGTGGCAGGTGCCTGTAGTCCCAGCTTCTTGGGAGGCTGAGGGAAGAGGACTGCTTGAACCCAGGAGTTTGAGGTGCTATGAGCTAGAATGATGCCACAGCACTCTAGCCTAGAACCCTGAGTGAAACAGTCTCAAAGAAGAGAGAAGACACTGTGCTAGGTGCCAGGTCTTACAAGGAAGGACCTAAGTATGGCTTCCACTAACCTCTCCAATCTCTTCTACCCCAGCTCCTGATCCCCCATATCCGCTACACCATGGAAATTAATACCCGGGCCCGCACCAAACTTATCTCAGATGGAGGAATATTTGATAAGGTGAGGAAGGAATGGAGTGTACAGCCCTGTAACATTTCAGCTATGATCTCTGCCACTTTCAAGATCTTGGATCAACCTCTGTGAATGTCCTGACCCTTAAACCCACAAGCCCTGTCCCTTTACAGCTAAGACCTTAAGACCCATAACTCTGAACACCCCACCCCTGACCCCTTTCTCTAGTATGCCACAGTCCTCCAGCCCTGCTTCCATCCCTCAAGACCTGTCAACTCTTTTGTCCCAGGTAGTGAGCACAGGTGGAGGGGGCCATGTGCAGCTGCTCCGTCGGGCAATGGCTCAGCTGACCTACCGCTCCCTCTGTCCTCCTGATGATCTGGCTGACCGAGGCCTGCTGGGAATTCCAAGTGCTCTCTATGCCCACGATGCTTTACAGCTCTGGGAGATCATTGCCCGGTGGGTGAGAGGGAGCTGAGGAATGGAGGGGTGTTGGGAGAGGGGCTCTGGCTTGAGGGCAGCATGGGGCAAAAGCACAATGAAAACAGGAGAGGCAGCCAGGAGGAGCCAAGAGCTCAAGTCTGGGGAGAGACAAGGAAGGGTGAACAGAGAGTGGGTGAGCTCTGAGAGGGAAGAGACAGGAATGGGGCAGAGAACACAGATTAGGAGAGTTTGGTGGGCAGACTGGGAGTCTGGAAAAATCAGAATTTTGCTAGAAAGCCTGGCCAGCAACCATACATAGGGAAATCCTAGAACTACTCACCTTCACCTCCTCCCATGAGACACTAGTGTTTTTAAAGCACAGAGGATATCCCCACAGACAAGTGTTATGAGGTTCCTCCCCACATACAGCAGCTGGGCAGATGCCAGGGAGAAAGGAGCAGAGTTCAGAAGCTGGAGCCTTCTACTCTGTTAGCTCACCTCCCTTCTCTGGGCAGGTATGTGGAGGGCATTGTCCACCTCTTCTACCAAAGGGATGATGTCGTGAGGGGGGACCCTGAGCTGCAGGCCTGGTGTGGGGAGATCACAGAGGTGGGGCTGTGCCAGGCCCAGGACCGAGGTAAGATCTGTCCTGGAGACAGGAGCACATGGGAGACTCTGCCAGAGCCCCTTCCCAGTCCTGTCCTTCTGGGCCAGGACCCCAACCCCTCACCACACACTCCTCCCTCCACACAGGGAAGCATCTGAATCTTATTCACACCTCCTAAAACTCAGGACAGTTCTAGACACCAAAGGACTATTCTCCTCAGGGACCCTGGTTATAAACCCCACCCCCATGCCCACCCCCAGGTGGTCACCCTAACCTGCTACTTCATGGGGCCCAGCCACACCAGAATCACAGCGAGAGTGAGGGCTTCTGCCCAGTGTGTGCTAGGGTCTGTTTCTCTTCATAGAATATAAATGGGATGGCTCGATATGGTGGCTCACACCTGTAATCCTAGCACTCTGGGAGGCTAAGGCGGGTGGATCACCTGAGCTCAGGAGTTCAAGACCAGCCTGAGCAAGAATGAGACCCCATCTCTACTAAAAACTAGCTGGGGGTTATAGCAGAGGCCTGTAGTCCCAGCTTCTTGGGAGGCTGAGGCAAGAGGATCTTTTGAGCCCAAGAGTTTGAGGTTGCTGTGAGGTATGATGCCATGGTACTGTACCAAGCATGACAGAGTAAAAATTAAAAAAGAATATAAATGATAAGATTTTTCTGACCAAAGCCCATAATGACCACCCTGTATTTCTCCCTCTGGTACTGCCTGCTACTGCCCAGTACACACACACAAGAGTCCAGGCATACAGCATACTTGCCACAGTGCAAGGTCATTTCTAGGTGCAAACTCAATACTATACATTGTTTACCTCAAACCCAACCTAAGGTCCCTGATCCCTGGGGCTCAGATTCCTTTAGCCAATCCAGCCTTTTCTCCTCTTCTACCTCCCACCCAAAATGTACACACTACCATCAGTCACTCCTCACCTCCTACTTTTTTTTTTTTTTTTGAGATTGTCTCACCAGGTCGTCATTGGTAGAGTGCCGTGGCAACACAGCTCACAGCAACCTCAAACTCTTGGGCTTAAGTGATTCTCTTGCCTCAGCCTCCCAAGCAGCTGGGACTACAGGTGCCTGCCACAACACCCAGCTATTTTTTGTTGCAGTTGTCATTGTTGTTTAGCTGGTCCAGGCTGAGTTCGAACCCACCAGCCTGGGTATATGTGGCTGGCGCCCTAGCCGCTGAGCTATGGGCACCGCCACCCCCCACATTTTAACCTCTGGGAAAGAAAGACACAAACTTTCTTTAGCCCTTCCTGGACTCATCGTCCTCTAACACACAGGCCTACATGGACTGTTCTGAATTATTCTCCAGCCCCTCCCCCTTAGGCTTCAAACTAACACCTCTGCCTCCACAGAACACTACCAACATTTACTGGGGATCCATTATGGCCAATCCTGGGAATGCAGCAAACACTTGCACCATGGGGTGCACCACCCCACCCCTACAGTACCAAACTGTATATTTCTCAGTACTGTCCCTTAGGCTCCACATGTCCCAAAAGACCCTTCTTTCCTTGCTGACCCATCTCCTCCCCAAACTCATCTGTTTTGAAATTCAATATTCACATAGTCAATTTGGGTTGCTATGACAAAGTATCATAGACTTGGGGGACACATACTCAGTTTGTAACACACGAATTAACTAACCTCCACTAGTTGCCTCTCATTCTTCCTTCCCCCTTATTCTCCCTCAATTCTCATAGCTCACCTCTGCCTAATTTTCCTAGCAGACTTTTTAGTGAAAGTATGCTAACATTAAAAACAGCATGGGATTAGCTGTCAGGAGCCTAAGTTCAAGGTCAGTATTTACCCCACTGTGCAATCATCCTAACAAGCAGTTTAGTACCTCTGGTCTTTGATTTTCTTAACCTATAAAATAGGAGTAATTACATTTGTTCCACTTAACAAATGGGATTATTGGGACTCTGAGCCCCCGCATCCACTGTGAAATGAATGGCCTGAACTAACCCCTTGTGGGAAGCCCCTCTTGCTATGACATGTAAATTCATAATTTCTTTTTTCTTTTTTTTTCTTGAGACAGAATCGCACTATATCACCCTCAGTAGAGTACTATAGCATCACAGCTCACAGCAACCTCAAACTCTTGGGCTTAAGCAATTCTCTTGCCTCAGCCTCCCGAGTAGCTGGGACTACAGGTGCCTGCCACAACGCCTGGCTATTTTTGATTGTAGCTGTCATTGTTGTTTAGCAAGCCCAGGCCTGGTTCAAACCCACCAGCCTAAGTGTATGTGGCCGGCACCCTATTCACTGAGCTATGGACGCTGAGCTGAAATTCATAATTTCTTATTCCTCACCTTATAGCACAGAGATTTGTAACTGCCTCCGTGGGACAACTACCAACATTTACTGGGGATCCATTATGGCCAATCCTGAGAATGCAGCAAACACTTGCACCCTAGAGGGAGCATCTCCCTGGGGAATCTGTGGGTGCACCACACCACCATTATAGTACCAAACTGTATACTTGCCTATTTGGGAATAAGAAGAAGCATCCCGAAATTCTTAACCACTTTTTGAGGCAGGGGCTATCTGATCATTCAGAATCTTTCAGCCCTCAGCTGTTCCCTAACAACTAATTGAGCAATTAGTGCACACGAGCTGATTTTGACCTCATTTATAAAGTAGATATCATCCACATTTTACAGATGAAAAAAAGCTATAAGTGTAGGCGGCACCTGTGGCTCAAAGGCATAGAGCGCTGGCCCCATATACCAGACATGGTGGGCTCAAACCCGGCCCTGGCCAAAAAAAAATGCTATAAGTGACTGAGGCAAGATTGAAACCCATGTCTGATGCAAATATATCTAAATAAATGAACATAACACTTATCAAGTCTAAAATATGAACATCCCAAGACATCAGGCTTTATTTCTATCCTTATATGCTATAGCCTCTAAATCCTGTTCTTTTCCCGCCCAGGTTTCCCTATCTCCTTCCAGTCCCAGGCTCAACTCTGCCATTTCCTTACCATGTGTGTCTTCACATGCACTGTTCAGCATGGGGCCATCAACCAAGGCCAGGTAGGAAGGGTGGAAAGCCCAGGTCCCTGAGGGCAAGTGTCTGGACCTTGGAAGACCTGAGGGAGAGATGGGAGTTCAAACTTTAAGTTCCAGGCTTGCATTTTCTTCCTGGAGCTGGACTGGTATGCCTGGGTCCCTAATGCCCCATGCACAATGCGGATGCCTCCACCCACCACCAAGGAAGATGTGACAATGGCCACAGTGATGGGGTCACTACCAGATGTCCAGCAGGCCTGTCTTCAAATGACTATCTCATGGCATCTGGGTCGCCGCCAGCCAGACATGGTGAGAGGGCACTCTAGAGAGAGGGAAATAACATTGGGAAAGGAAACAACATCGCTTCTGTCTTCAGACTAAAAACTGATCCTTTGTTCTGTCTCAGGTGCCTCTGGGGCATCACAAAGAAAATTACTTCTCAAACCCCAAGGCCAAAGCTGTGCTAAACCAATTCCAAACAGATTTAGAAAACCTGGAAAAGAAGATCATAGCCCGCAATGAGCAACTTGACCTGCCCTATGAATATCTGAAGCCCAGCCGCATAGAAAACAGTATCACTATCTGAGCCCTAAGGCCTCCCTACCCGGAAGACTTCACCTCAACTTTAGGACTGATATTTCCATCTTGAATTTCATACTTTCCTAAGTCTCTGCTGCTAAGGCTTTCTTCTCCCCCATCAGTATCTCACTAGCTGAGAGGGCAATAAACTTTTTCTGTGTAAAGTAAGATAATATTTTTGGCTTCATAGGCCAGTCTATGTCACAATTACTCACCTGCCCCATTGCGTGCAGCAATAAGACAACCATAGGCAACGTGTAAGTGAATGCTACTGTGTTCCAATAAAGTTTTATCTATAGATATGAGCCTCACACGTTGTAAAATATTTTTAGTTTATTCAACCATTGAAAAATGAAAAAGTACTTTGTTTGAGACAGGCACAGGCTACAGGCTGGATTTGGCCTTCCTTCTACATTACCCTGAGGCCCTGACCCTACTTCCCAAATCTCTAAGATCATGGTTGAGGGAGAATTCTCTGTTCCCAGGAACAAATTGCATGCTTGTTGGCAAAGTCAGAAATTCCTGAATCTATGGGCAGCGCCTGTGGCCCAGTGAGTAGGGTGCTGGCCCCATGTACCGAGGATGGCAGGTTCAAACCTGGCTCAGCCAAACTGCAACAAAAAATAGCCGGGCATTGTGGCAAGCTCCTGTATTCCCAGCTACTCAGGAGACTGAGGCAAAAGAATCACCTAAACCCAAGAGCTGGAGGTTGCTATGAGCTGTGACACCATGGCACTCTACTGAAGGCAACAAAGTGAAACTCTATCTCTAAAAAAAAAAAGGAAATTCCTGAAACCTCATTTCTCCTATTCACACATATATTCCAAAGGGACCTAATAAGAATGGTGTTTCTAGGGCAAAATGAAAACCTTTGCCCAAAAATGTCTTCTTTCTCCAGACAGTCCCAAATAAAAGAAATATGAAATTCATGTTTTTCTTACAAAGGTACAAGTGAATCTTTCTAAGAGTAGAATGATGTGAACGTTTTAAAATAATAACTAAGAAAATGACATGAAAGCTATGTTAACCAATTTGATGGAAGTGTATCGGATTGCGTGTGAAAACCGCACACTGTACCCCAGAAGTGCATTAATGTAGTTACCATTCAATAAAAAAAAAGAGAGAGAGAGAAAAGAAATATGAAATTCATGTTTCAAGGCCACTATCTCAGTCTATTTAGTACCCTGGGATCTCTGCGTGTTTCCCAGGTTCCAAGTTCTCTTTCACAACCTTTTAAGAACAGTATGCATAAAATATGCACAGTGAGTCTTTGGCTCTGGAGTCTCAGGATCAAAATGATTCCTCTCAATTATGCTGAGGTCACTGTTCTCACTAGACTGTGTTCTTCAAACATCCTTCTTTCCCCCAATTATTACATATCTGCCTCTCACCAGCAAAGTATGAAAACTTTTTTTTGGAGGGAATGATCTATTCATATTTTAAATTTTGTATCCTACCTTATTCAAAGGACTTAGATAATCAGCTTCCATGGTTTACAATAGGGAAGCAAAGTGACATTTTTGTGTTCTTATTCCTTTCTTCAGCATATATACAGGACTGCTCACCTTCACAACTTCCTCATTGACTCGGCTTTCCTTGGACTTTTCCTAACCTCATATTTTTCCTGGATTTGGCATCTAGAGCTACACAGTATTCCAAGTGCAATGATAAAATGTTACTTAAGCATTTCCAATGCCAAGAACCCTCAGCAGTTTTAAAGCGTTCTGGCCACAACAGCACGCTTCCCCTGGGAAAGTAGCGCCTGCCTCCTTTTTACTATGTCAGAATAAGTAAATAAGAGACAGGAGCGCTCTCTCTAGGTATAAATCTCTTTGTCTCACTCACCAATTCCCCATCACAGGATACCAAGTGAGACTAAGGTATCTTTGGGGGAAATCAGATAGTTCCAATCCTCCACGTAAGAGCCCTTTACCCAAGTTACCAGGAGATTCCGCTAGAATTAGACCTTCCCCCCTCCCACCCCCGACCAGTCACAGTGAGTTCCTCGTCACATGACTTACCAAACTTGGCCACGTGACTGCCAGCTCGTTCTATTCCAACCCGGAGTGGGAAGGGGAACCAAGAAACTGGGGGTCCTCGCTCTTCCAATATTCATGCCCCGCTACCTAGGTCAATAAGGGTTTAGGAACAACCTCTTTGGTTCCACACACCGCCTCCTGACGCAGAAGTCCCGGTAGGACTTTGAGGTGCCTCGCGCTCTACCCTTGCCACCCCCTCTGACACAATGGTTGGGGCCGAAGGCCCGCCCTCCCGCAGCCCTGCGGGCGCATCCCGGGCTTCTTCCCACCGTCTTTCCAGCGGGCTCACCCTGGCACTATCCCCAAGTTCCTTCTAAATGGCGTCTCTCCTGTGCTGTGGGCCGAAGCTGGCCGCCTGCGGCATCGTCCTCAGCGCCTGGGGAGTGATCATGTTGGTGAGGTGATTCCCCGACGAGAATCGGAAGAGAGCCTGGGGGCTCCGGGGTTGGAGGGTTAAAAGGCAAGGGAACTCTGGGCCTTAGAAGACACCGAGCAGGTTGGAGGAGTGGGTTGACCTACTGGCCGCTGAAGAACAGGATAGAGCCGAGATTGAGAATTGGGAAATGGAGCAGGGTGGAGAGGTGAAAGCAGGAATGGGAGGAGCCGGGGCTCGTAAATTTGGAAACCCCTTAAAGGTAAGAGAAAGAAGAGTGAGGTTCCTAAGAGATGCTTGAGTTGGAGGATATGGGGTGGAGGGGGGAAAGGAGTGCTTGTAACCGAAATCTGTGGCTGGGCCATGTTTCTCCAGGACTTTAACCGCCCCCCACTTCTAAGATGGAATAATATGAAGAAGTGCCGGTTCTCCCTCACCTCTTCCGCACTGTCCCGTGATAATGACGCCTTTGGGGAGGAGGACTATTTGGGTTCTGGGAAAGATTGATTGCTCACTATTCCCGCCGTTGCCCGAGCCACTTGTCTCAGTGTAACCAGCTCAATCCCTATTCCCTATTCGAGCAACAACCACCCCTAATCATACCTTGTTCTGGTTTATCCCAGACCCAGGTGTTGTGGCAACATTAGAAATGGGATGGGTTTAGAAAGTGACCAGGAGGTACCCGTATTCAACAACCTAGCCATTCTCATTTTTCAGATAATGCTCGGAATATTTTTCAACGTCCATTCCGCTGTGTTAATTGAGGACGTTCCCTTCACGGAGAAAGATTTTGAGTAAGTTATCAGGTGTGGGAGGCGGCGTTGGGGGTAAATTTATGTGCGGGGGGGCTGGATGTTTGGGGCACCAAGGTTGGGGAAACGGCAAAGGAAAGCTGCTTAAGTCTTCAGAATAGAGTTACATTGGGAGCCAGACTCAGCAGCCCTCCTAAACCCGCCATTGTAGATGTGGCCTCTTTAGGTATTTTACTTCATTGTACCTCAGTCCACCTCTGCAAAATGGATACAATAATAGAACTCATCATATATGATGGTCAAAAAGATTGAATAATACACCTAAAAACTCTTAGAATAGTGTCTGTCTCTTGGTCAGTGCTCGGTAAACCTTTATGGCTATTAAGGTTTAACACTTCTCTATCTAATCTCCACCTCCAGGAATGGCCCCCAGAAAATATACAACCTTTACGAGCAAGTGAGCTACAACTGTTTCATCGCCGCGGGCCTTTACCTCCTCCTCGGAGGCTTCTCATTCTGCCAAGTTCGGCTCAATAAGCGCAAAGAATATATGGTGCGCTAGAGGTCCAGTTTCCCCTCCCCAGCCCCCTCCTCTATTTAAAGACTCCCTCCACCCTCACCTGGGTCGTTTTACCCATTCTAGCGCTCTCTCCGGGACTGGGTTTCACGGGCTAGAGACTGAATCCCTTGTTCCCCCTCGGGCCCTAGAGCAAAGGGAACGGAGGCTGGCCGTTCACTCTCTCTAGCTTCTTTGCTTTGTCCTGTACCACAATAAAGAGAATCTGCACTCTTAAGCCTTGTTTGTGCTTGGGTAAGAGGGCGGGGACCGGGCTGCTGCTGGAGGTCGACCTCCTTCGCGAGTCCCGACCCCTGGACGGAAGTGGAGTGAAGCCAGGCGGAAGTGAGGCGGTGGCTTCCATCTCTCCTTCCCTGGGAGCGCCAAGGGGGTCTAGGACTGCGATTGATGAGGCGGGGCTGGACTTCAACCAATCGACTGTGGGGAGGGCGGGACTTCCTGCACGGGAGCCGGAGCCTTTCAGTCGCCGGGCTCTCCGTGGTTCGGGCTCGCGTGGTGGTGGTGGTTGCGGCAGCGGCGGCGTCTCCGTGAGGAGGCGCGTGGGGCCATGACGTCAGCGTCCACAAAGGTTCGACCTCCCTTGCGGACAGCGCTCCCTGGCGGCCACGGGAGGGCGGGGGTGATCCCGCAACTGACTTTCGGCTCTTCCTCTCCGGGAGGGGGGCCGGGGGCGGGCGGGAGCCGTGCATGGGGTGGGGCAAGGGGCTCCGGGCCGGACGGCGATGGGTGTGTGCGCCTGCCCCCCATAACGCTGCCCCGCCCCCAGGTCGGAGAGATCTTCTCCGCTGCAGGGGCTGCCTTCACCAAGCTCGGGGAGCTGACGATGCAGCTACATCCTGTGGCCGACTCTTCACCTGCCGGGTACGTGAGCCTGGACTGGGACGTGGACGCAGAGAGCGAAAGCATGGATTCAGTCACAGACATGGACCCTCTCTAGGACAGGGACAGATGTTAGTTTCTCTTTGTGCCTGGCACAGCGCGGAGTAGGTGTTAATAAATGATTATTGAATGAAGGAATGAATGACAGATAAAAATACAGACTGAGGCCCATAACCTGGGCTCATATTTCCCAGTTCGACTCTGCTGCATATCGGCAGACCACAAACCACCACCACCACTACCACCCACCCCCCGGTTCGTAAGGAATTCTGGCAGACTATGTTCAGGGGTTCTGCTTGTAAGGACCCTTCTTGTTGGACTAGTTTCAGTGTGAGGTTTATAGCACCGGTTTCACGTTGTTTGGGGAGATGGGTGTTCTAAGGTGGAGGCTGTTGAGATTTCATGACGTTGGGGAGCCTCAGGGTTCCCTCAGGGGCTTAAGAGTTTTTTTTTTTTAGGAGGCCCTCTTTGTGCATCATCAGTGGGAGGGGGCCCAGAGATTGGGAAGGGGTGGCTGGTAGGCTGTGGAATGCATAGCCTGTGGGCTGGCTCCACACCCCTCCTGCCTGCCTTTTTTTTTTTTTTTTTTTTTGCTATCCCCCTCTCCCCTTCTGACAGTGCGAAGTGGACAGAGACGGAGATAGAGATGCTGAGGGCTGCTGTGAAGCGATTTGGGGACGATCTTAATCACATCAGCTGTGTCATCAAGGAACGGACAGTGTGAGGGAGGGTGGCTGGCAGAGAAAGGGGGGTGGGCAGCTTTCTTTCTCCTTACCCGTTGTTCCGTCTTCCTCAGGACTCCTTTCCAGCTCATCTTTACTACTTTGTTGCTAGTTTTGCTAAAATCCCCTTGAGGACTGAAAGAATAGAATTGTCACAATTGGTCTGAAGTTCCTGAAATGCTGTGGTAATCAGGACCTTACAAGAATTTGATTTTTGCTTGCCTGAGATACTCATTTATTGCGTTTGATAATAGGAGTTCCCTGGTTATAGACTTTTGAGGCTGTACTGCAGTATTCCCAGGGATAGTGTGATACTGAACCAGTTTGCTGATCAGTCCCAATCTACCGTAAATCACCAAGCCTTATTTGGTGGTGGCCTGCAACATCCATATATCTTTCCCAGAAGAGAATTAGAGGATAGACCTTTACCACTACTTAGTTCAAGGACTTCACTCTTCACACTCCATCCTCCCCGAGTGCATGCAGAATTTCAGGAAAATGAGAACCCTACTCATGGGTTGGGGCCCTGACCTGGATTCTTAGGAAAGGGCTCCCAGAATTCCTTCAGAGTGGTTCATTACCCCTTCCCCTCCCTTTCCTTCTTCCCTCTGCCTCTCTGATGATTAATTCCTAACCCTCTCTCTCTTCTCTTCAGGGCTCAGATAAAGACCACTGTGAAACGCAAGGTATATGAAGACTCTGGCATCCCTCTTCCAGCTGAGTCACCCAAGAAAGGGCCCAAGAAGGTGGCTTCTGGTGTCTTGTCACCTCCAGCTGCCCCTCCACCCAGCAGCTCCAGTGTCCCTGAGGCTGGGGGTCCCCCCATAAAGAAACAGAAGGCTGGTGAGGGCTGTGGAGTTGCTGCCTAAGGCTTAAAGTTCCCGGCTGAGGTTCAGTGAGAGAAAAGGGCCTGGGTCAAAGGAGGACAAATCTGTTTCTGTGGAGGTCCCCAGAAAGAGGCAGAGGGGTGAGGGAGCTTTGGAAAGTTGGGTTGGAGGTGGGTGGAACAGTCAGGGGATCCTAGAATCTAGCTTATGTCTTCCTCCTAGATGTGACACTCAGTGCTCTGAACGACTCCGATGGCAACAGTGACCTAGTGGATATTGAAGGGCTGGGAGAGACTCCTCCAGCCAAGAAACTCAGCTTCGACCAGGGTAGGCATCCTCCTCCTCCTATACTAGCCAAAGGGGCAGAGAAAGGAGGTTCTCAGCAGGAACCTCTCCCTTATACAGAGGACTCAGAAGAGAAGGTACTCTCATACACCATACAGGGGATTGGTTAGTAAGTAGCAGTGTTTTGGGGAGGTGGGTGTTGTCTTCGAAGCATGCTTGGGGCTTGCTCCATCTCGGCCCATTTTACTTCCTGTTCCAGACAGCCTGACCCTGGATTCTGGCCTTCTCATGACCTCTACTGATCTTCCTCTACTCTCCCACTGAGCCTGCCACCTCTGACCCCTTTCACTGTTCACCCTGGACCTGTTGGATTGCTGGGTACTCTGAGCAAGGACTGCACGAGAGGGCCAGAAAGCTGCTGGGGCTGTCCACCTTGTTGTTCCCATATAAGTGTCTTCCCCAACCCCTTTGCCTTCTATCTGATGGACATTTTTATAGAAAACAATAAAGATTTCCCTCTTAGCTTGGTGTTGTCTGCTAAATGTTAACAGGAGAGGGCTGTTGCCTCTTTTCTCCTCAACCTTCAGGGGCTTAGCCCCTCCTTAGTAGTTCTCGCTACCCTGCCTGGAGCAGCACAGCAAATATTGGCAGATTTGCTTCCCAGTGCCAATATTTCAGTGCTGCTAGAGCCAGAGGAGCTGGGTGTGGGCAACAAAGACTCCACTTTGCTATCTGGTGGCAGAACTGACTTCCAAGGTCTCTGGCAGACAGTATTCCTGAGCCTACCCTGGGAAGTTTAGAGGGGCTGTTTCCAGTGCTTTCATACCCCACCTCCTTCTTCCCCACCTTGCAGTTTGTCGCAGGGCCCCAGATGTTTTTTGTGTTGCTTCTCCAGGATGGCCTCACAGGGCCAAGCCTCAGCGGTGCCTCCCCCACCCTCGCTCTAACACCACAGTGTGGTTTGGACGTGGCCACAGTGCCGTACAAACCACAGTGTGCTGCTGGGGCGGGAGCAGGACTGGGCTGGGTTGAGAGGAAGAGAGCACAACACAGTGATGGGAAGATCCCACTACCAACAACCACCATCAAGAGTAGGGAGATAGAGAAGGCTTAAGAGGCAAACATGGCCTCCAAAACAATTGGGGAAAACCAGGAACCAGGGATAGAAGCTAAATAGCAACGGGACAGGGATGAGCTCACAGTATAATTAGATTGGACCATCTTCCCTCTGTAGGAACTCAGTTCAGGAGATCCCTTGGGTGGGGTGAGGCAGAATAAATGGGGAATGACTGTAGGGGACCAAGAAACTGCCTCCCGACTCAGCAAGGGCAGAGACCCAAGGCTTCCTGTGTCTGTTCCTCCCCTCCCTGGGTCAGAACCCAAGAGAAAAGCGAGGAGAGACAGAGGGCCAAGGACAGCAGGGTTGGGAGTTGGCAGTCCAGAGGTGGTGGGGCTGGAACCCGGTTAGGAGAGGGGGGCCGGAAGTTGCCCTGGGCCCTGGGCCTGCCACAAGATGGAGGCCAAAGGCAGGAAATGGAGGCCAGGGGAAAAGGAGAGAAGCAGGGCCCAGGAAGAGGGTCATCTGGACCTAGGGGCTAGTAGTCAACCCCCAGTGTGGTTCCCACTGCCCAGGGACCCACAGGACCCAAGCCCCACCCCCACAACAACTTCCATCAGCCCATCACCAGGCCCAGGCAGCGGGCCCACCCCAGAAAGCCACGTTTAAGCTGAGACAAATATGTCTCTCCCCAGCCCCCACCCTAGGCCTTCCCTCAGGCTTTTTCTCTTGTCTAGGACTTGATTTTTAAATAGCACCCCCAAAAAAGCAAAATTCAGGGGCAAAAATTCCTCTGTAAATCAAAATAATATCCTCTAACACCCAAAAGTTATCTTCCCATATCTCATCCCACCTTTTACCGCTCCCCCTTCTGACACACCCCCCAAAACTCTTAGCAATCAAAATGATCTAAGGTGGTGTATGTAAGCAGTTCTTTTAGGCCCCCAAGGATGCCAGACCCCCAAAACCCCTATCTGTCCTACATCAAACCCTGCCATGGCCTCCTTCACCTCACTCCACCCTCCTTAGCCCCCATATTGAACAGATGCCCCCAGCTCCCACCCTCGGCAGAGCCTTTGTGGGGGTAAAAGAGAAATCAAACACTGTCCTAATGGCTGGAGATGTTGAGGGCTCTCTAGTCTCAGCTTTTGGTTTCCACCTGGGGGGTTGCAGTTTAGGGGTGTAAGAGAAAACCTCTCCAATCATCCCCCCAATTCCAAGACTGACAAAGCCCAACCCCACCCCAGCACGCACCTCCAAACCTCCCCCCCAACCGCCACGTCTCTCCTGAAAACAGGGGACACTTTCCTCCCCACTTACCTCAGCTACTCTCCCCTGAGATCCTGGTCCCCTATTTTGAAAGGAGCAAATTTTGGGGTGCATCCCTCACATTTGGGGTGCAGGAGAAAGGAGCTGCCCCAGTCGCATCGCTGGCCTCCTTCCTCTCGGCTGGCTCAGGGGCTGGGGAGTGCCCTGGGGAGGAGGGACCCCCACAAGAAAGCTCAGGAGGGGGTTTCTCCACTCCCAGTCAGAATTGGGGACACCCCCCCAAAACCCGTCCCAGCCCATCCGTCTCCAACTCGGCGGGAGAGGCAGCTGCAATGCCCCAGTCAGATTCCCCCAACACTACATTCCTCACCCCATCTAGAGGGGTCCCAGGGTCCCCAAAAAATCCCAAAAAAATCTAGGATGTTGGGAGGACGGTCCTGGACTAGCTCCCCAAATTTGGGGTCCTCAGATACCCCCGTTTTTTCAGGAAAATTCCGTCTTTTGCCTGCCTCCCGCCAGCCCTGCTCTGTCCCGATGCCAATTTTGGAAGTCACTCCCTCCTTCCTCCTCCCCGTCTCTCCAGGCCCCCCCCCACCCCCGCTCGGGGGCTAGGGTCCAGGACACCTGGCTTCCAGAGCTGGGGGACACTCTTCAAAGGGCTAGGGGCCAGGAGGTCAAGCTCATTGCTCCTGCCTTAAGGAAGCAGGAAAGCCCGATCCTCCCTTCCCCTCCCCCCGGCTGGTCTCGGTGGTGGTTTAGGAAAGCCTGGAGGATTGGAATCTGCCATTGCTGTTGCACAGGCAGTTTTTTTTTTTTTCCTTGGGTTGGGGGGGTGGGCGGTGGGAGGGAGAGAGGGGAGGAGAGCCGAAGAGAGCAGGGACCCAGGCTTGAGGAGCTGGCCTGGCTTACCCTCTAGCCCCTGCTGCCGCTGGGAGCCCCTCCCCCCTCATCTCACCCATACTCCCAGTCCTGTCTGCTTTCTGTTTGGGGCGCTTGTCCTAGAAAATCAGGGTACAGGGATCACCTTCTTGTACCCCACCACCACCCTTCTTTGCCACAGTTGAAACATCACTGCCCTGGCCAGGAGCGTACTCTTTACCAAGAGACACCCCTTTTTCCTCGACCTTCCCCCAAACTGAGGTATGCTCCCTTAAGAAACTGGGGTTCAGAGGCTAAAACTGCCTTTTCTCCCTCAGATCTATCCAAGCTGCATGGTAATAAGTGGAGGGACTACCCTTTTCAAGTTTCTTCCTTTAAGTCTTGGACTTATTTGGGGGTACACTAAAGAAAGAAATTCCTAGAATCTGGGGTGAGAGGAAGCTATAAGCAAAAGACATCCGAAAGCAGAACTGTGTTCCAAATTAAATGAAATTCCAGATAAGTCTCACCTTGTTATCCATCCCTCAGCTTCACCAAAATCACTCAAAGAGTGACAAAATACCCCCCAAATAAGGACACACCCAAATTAGAGTCTCCTACCCTGGGGACCCTCACCTTGTTTCTCCCCAGGAAGAAAGCTTCTTGGCTAGCCATGCATACACAAGAACATCCCCCCCATCAAAGTGAGTTTCTACAAGATTCAAACATAAAACTTTGCTTCTGCCTTGCAGGCCCCCCAATTACAGACAGCCTTCATACTTAATTCCATTTTCCTATGATCTATCTCAAACTAATTTTAAAACTCCAAACTGAATTTCATGTCCCCTCAACTGAATCTGATCCTTGAAATTTATATGGGACTCCCCAAAAGACTGTACCCCAAAACTGGCATGACTACTTTGGCTCTCCTGATAGTCCAGTGGTTCTCAACCTTCCTAATGCCGCAGGCCTTTAATACAGTTCCTGTAAGTGGCGACCCACACATTGAGAACCGCTGTGATAGTCAAAGGTGACAAAGATGAGTACAGTCTCCAAATTGTGAGCATCAGAACCTCCAAAACTAATGTAGCTTTAAAATCAGCCCTATGTCTCAAACTTACCCTATGCCCTCAAGGCTGAATATAACCCCCAATGCCCCTAACAAATCAAATCAACACCCTATAATAAATAGGCACCCCACAATTGACCAGGTAACACTTTATCCTAATACCAAAGGGAGACCCTATGGTATCCATAGTCTGATTCCTACCTCCAAACTAGGCAGAGATCAAAGTAACCCTCATATGTCAAAGCCACTTGACTACCCTGAATCCTTAGTGGTCCCCAATTCCCAGTTTCTCAGCGGTTCTTTCATACACTCAAAGATACACTCAAATCTAAAGAGGAGGGTTCAAGCCTGGATATCCAGCACCACTGACAATGGTCAGTCATTCCTGACCAACTGTATATTCTCCTGAGCCCAAATTGCAGGAACTCCCGTTTTGCAGCTGAAGACAGCTCTAGCGCCCCACCCCGCCCAAAATGAGGTTTGCCGTTTGCCTCCCTAGAAAGTCTTCCCAAACAAAATATGAGGGTGTGACCATGCCTCTTTCTCAGATAGGGGACTTAAAATTTCGATTGTCAGGCTCCTCCTGACCCCTCTTCCCTGTTTTCTTTTCTGTTTACTCCACCCAATTTTCATAATCATATTCAAAAAAATGTCTCCAAAGACATCTGGGTAGTAGTATCTACCTTGATTATAAAAGAAAACCCTGTGCTTCCAGGCCCAGGTCCCGCTTTTGTCCCACCTCTCCCCTTGCCCCCAAAGCCCATGGACTTCTCACCTCAGGTAGGAACCCCAGCCTGAGGGGAAAGTCCCCTCGGCCCAACCCTAGATCCCTCTTAGGATACAGAGGTACAAAATATACTAGAGCATAGGGGAGGAGGCCGAAGGATTCAGCCGCCCAGACTAAATCGATCCTTCGCTGGGGTCTGAGCGCACCCCAAGCAGGGTGGAGACGACCCGGCGAGGCGAGGCTAGTGCTCGCCCGCCCCCTCGTGGAGGGAACCAAGCATTGCCGAACTTTGCCTTCTTGCCGCGCTGGACCCCGGCGTCCAGCCAGCCTCAAAACGTAGCCGACCGGCGGGTGCCCAGTAAGCCGGACTGGGAGAGAGCGAGCGGACTTGGGGCGGGAGTCCGTCCCTCCAGATCCCTAAAAGGATTCAAAAGAGAGTCTGGAGCGAGAGACCGGACGCCCAGGTCTCCTGAGCGTTTCTCACTGCCCCCACCTCGGGGCTTTCCCCACCTCCTCGAGGGGAAGCAGCTGCAGTAGCCGTCCGGTCGCAGGACAATGGAAGGAAACGAACTAGAAATCATATCCGCCCTCTCCCTACCCCGCCCGGTCATAGGTCCCCCACCCCTTTTTGTAGGCCTCACTGGAGGAGCCTGTCATTCACACCACTTGCTGCCTCTGTCTGAGATACAACAGTAGCCCACTATCTCCTCCCCGAACCTGGCGCCTCCTTGAGCGCCCCCTTTTCTCCCTTAACACAGTACATTGGAACGGGAGTTTTGATACATTCGTTTTCTCCTGCAACAGGTTCTGGGCACCCCGTTCCAAAAGCAAACACATCAATTTTCGCTGGTCCAGGCCCTCCGAAGACTCTGGCTGCCTATATGTCAATATTGATATCCCTAACCTCCTCACCAATTCCAAGACACACCCCCGTTTCCACTTTCAGTGACCCAAGACCCCTATATTACGACCACCCAGCGTTTCTGAGGTCCCGCCCTCGAGATGGGACCCCGCCCTGAGCTGGCCATCTGGAAAGCGAGGGAGGAAGGAAGGATACAGACCCAGGCGTTCACCCCACCTCCACACCCGCCCCCGACATCCAGGCCAGATAAAGGAGCAGAGAGGCCCACAGGGGAGAGAGACCCCGCCCCCCTTAAGAAGAGAAGCTGAAGCCCCTGCAGGACGGGGGTAAGATCGTGAGACTGAGGGAGCCAAACTTCTGGGTCCTTGAAAAGGGTGGGGCTTGTTGACAGTTGTAAGACTTGAATCCCAGAACTTGGGCTAAAGTAGGGTTTGGGGACTAGATAGAAATAGCAGAATTCCATAGTTGAAATTCAACTCAAACTCTCTTGAAGAGAGATTTGACTGGGATTTGGAGGGGTGTGGACCGCTGGTCGCGTGGGGTGTCTAGGAAGGGTCGGACACCTGAGATTTGAGCGCGCAACGAAATAGAGGGGAGTAGGGCTGCTGGAGGGGCGCTAGGAGTCAAACTAAGGGCGCTAGGCTCTGGATTCTCCACGCTTGCCTGTTAACAAGGCGACAGTGTGCGAACTGGCTCCAACTGGTGTGGGATCTAGAACAGGGAAGACAGTGACTGTGTAGCTGAGGACAGAATGAACAGGATGAATTAAAAGTAATGCTGCGTGTGCTGGCGTTGGAGGCTGGAGGCACCGGCTCTATCTGCACCTCAGGAGGAAAAGGCAAACAGAGAAGGGAAGCGTCTTAGGACGGCCTAGATCCCTGAGCCTATCCATGGCATCTGCAGGCCCATGTCGCCATGGGTTCTACAGCTACCACGGAGGGAGCGCTGGGCTACGTCCGCGAGTTCACTCGCCACTCCTCCGACGTGCTGGGCAATCTGAACCAGCTGCGCCTGCGCGGGATCCTCACTGACGTCACGCTGCTAGTTGGCGGGCAACCCCTCCGGGCGCACAAGGCAGTTCTCATCGCTTGCAGGTTCGAGGGGTGGGGCCCCTGGGAGTGGGGTGGGGCCAAAGGAAAGGAGTAGAGACCTAAGGCCGTTAGGAAGGAATCCGGAGCCAATGCTCCTAGAAGCCCAGAACCCTGAGGCGGACTATCGTGGAATTAGGAGCCGGGTGATAATGAAGAGGAGGGGACTTCGGGTGATAATGAAGAGGAGGGGACTTCGAGGGAGTGGGGATTTTAAAGCGAAGCTAGTCGCCCTTGGTTCCCCAGCCCCTATCATGACATACCTGCCCTCTCTCCAGTGGCTTCTTCTATTCAATTTTTCGGGGCCGAGCGGGAGTGGGGGTGGACGTGCTTTCTCTACCCGGGGGCCCTGAAGCGAGAGGCTTCACTACTCTTCTGGACTTCATGTATACTTCGCGCCTGCGGCTCTCTCCCACCACTGCACCAGCCGTTCTTGCGGCTGCCACCTACTTGCAGATGGAACACGTGGTCCAGGCATGTCACCGCTTCATCCAGGCCAGGTGAGGGAGCCCAGACTCGGTGTTCTCCGTGGGTGAGGTGATGCCCCAAGTGTCAAGGACAAGGCAGAAATTAAGAAATGGCACTAATGTCCATCACACTTTTCACAGCTATGAACCTCTGGGCATCTCCATGCAACCACTGGAAGCAGAACCCCCCCTGCCCCCAACGGCCCCTCCACCAGGCAGTCCCAGGCGCTCTGAAGGACACCCAGATCCACCAACTGAGTCTCGAAGCTGCAGTCAAGGTCCCCCAAGTCCAGCCAGCCCAGATCCCAAAGCCTGCAACTGGAAAAAGTACAAGTACATTGTGCTAAACTCTCAGGCCTCCCAAGCAGGGAGCTTGGTGGGGGAGAAGAGTTCTGGTCAACCTTGCTCCCAAGCCAAGCTACCCAGTGGAGATGAGGCCTCCAGCAGCAGCAGCAGTGAAGAAGGACCCATTCCTGGTCCCCAGAGCAGGTACAGAATCTGGAATCCTAAGAATTCATAGAGGCTGGCCTCAGGTAGAAGGCAGAGTCGTTGGGCTTTGCAGGTCAGGAGACAGAAAGATGGGCATGGGTTTCAGAGATATTAGCCCACCTTAGGGAAATCAGCCAGAGGCCAGGCTTATTCAGTGGGGTGGGACTTTAAGAGCACAATGCATGTGGCTCATTGGTCAATACTGGCTCACCTCCAGAGGCTAGGCCTCTGATATCAAGTTCTCCAGGAGAGAATCTCCCCCATATAATCTCTCCTGACCCTTATCTCTGGGCCTTACCATCTGCCTAGGCTCTCTCCAACTACTGCTACCATACAGTTCAACTGTGGGACTCCAGCCAATAACCCCCATCTCCTCACAGCCCAGGCTCAAAAGACTACTGGATCACCCTCTGAACAGGCTCATCCATCACCAAGTAAGATCCTCTTTTTTTTTTT